AAAAGATGATATTGCGTTGAAAACCGTCTAACGTGACTAACAATTTTGAGAGTCGACCGAGATAATATGTCCAATTTTAGGGTTTAAGGATAAAACCTAATCTCCAATAGCAATAGTCCAGGGTAAAAATGACATTTTTCTTTTTTTATATTAAATGTCAAGTAAGGACCTGCTTGAAACAAAGAAATGCAGAACATAATAATAGGAGAAAACTGAGAATTATAAAACACATGAATTTTATACTAACGTGGTGTTTGGAAAGCATGAATATAATTAGTATAGAAATTTAAGAGCTAGCTACAAATTTAATTGCTAAGAATAAACTTAGCAGTAAATACTTTTTTCCCTTTAACATGAGTTGATGCCATTTCTTTTCCCCTTGCTCACTAGAGTTTAGAAATATTTTGTTTGTTTTGTAGGAACGAGAGTTTTGGTGGAGTGGATGGGAGTTTAAGGGCCAACTCCAACTAATCAATTCTTCATGCCTAGGGATGGTAATTGGGTGAGAATTGTATTCTTACTTAAAAAAAATACACCATCGTTCATCATGATTTGCCATATAATTTTTTTCTCAAAACTCTCGTACCAAACAGAGGATATGAATTCCCTCTTCAACTTTCTCTATTATTTCCCCATATGAAACAAATAAGGGATTTGAGACTAAAAGTCGATTTCCCATCTTAACTCCTATCGTCAACTCTTACCACTAATTTCCAGGCCCCTTTCCACGTAGTTGCGAAACACACCCTCAGCACACATCAACTCTTGCAATCCTGAAGGAAAAGAAAACACAGAGTTGGAGTGGATTATTTTTTCGCATAGAAAAGAACATCAATTCCAAACGCGCGCTTCAGCTTCCTTCGCTGTGTTTCATTCCTACATGATCTTCCTTTGGAATTCCCCCAATCCAGACAGGCCCTAATCGGCCACGGCCCAAGGCCGAACCAGGCACGGCCCCATTTCCGCCGCCGCCGTCGGCCGGCATTGCCGCGCGCTCGCCGTTGTCCTCTCCACCGCATCGGGCCTCGCTGCCGTCGCCTTCCTCCTGCGCAACCCTTCCTCGCCGTGTGGGCACGCCGCCCGTCTTCGTCTCATCTCGTCGGCGCTCGTCCTCCCTCCCACCCTCCAGCGCCTGCTGCCTCTCCATGGCGTGGATCTGGATCCTCGCGGCGGGAGCCGTGCTCCTGTGGGCGATCTCTCTGGGGCGGATCCTCTCCTACTCCTCTCCGTCCTGTGTGCCCCTGAGCCCGCAGTTCATGCCCCCTCTCCGCGGCGACAGGAGGAGCCGGAACGTGCTGCTCGTCGTCGCCCACCCCGACGACGAGTCCATGTATGTTGTTAGTTCTCCTTGTGTTTTGGATGCTCAATTGCCATGTCTGTGGAACGTCTGCTTAGTTCTAGTTTGATGTGTTGCTTGATTCTTATTGCTTTCTTTTGTGTTGCTACAGGTTCTTTGCTCCAACTATTCTTTTCCTCAAGTCAAAAGGTCACAGTATTCACATTCTGTGCATGTCTCGAGGTTAGATGGCAAGCAACTGACGCTATATGTTTATTTCTTCTGTTGTCCTATACATTTGTTTATCTGAGCTCAGCACAGAACAGGAATGGCCATTGTAATGTCTGCTAGGATGCATCATAAAACTGTCATAGGTAACACTGATGTCGGTTTACTGTATGCTTGACAACACACTTCAGATATTCATCTCTGATGCAAGCACGGTGCTTAAACATGCAGTGCCACTGTGTACGCATGATTTTTAGTGAATTAAGAACAAGTAAAAATAGTACTCGGCACATCTGAAGTACTAGCTAAGCTTTTAGCAATAAGTTTAATAGTATTTTTTTCCCTGACACGTGAACAATAAATCACCCATAACAAACTTACTCCTTCCACAGGTAATGCTGATGGTCTCAGAAATACTCGTAAAGAAGAATTGTACCATGCCTGTGAAACCCTTAAGGTACTCGGATCCTTAACTAGTTCATTTTACCCTCAAAGAGCAACCTTTGTACAGTTCCTGAAGCAGCTCATGTCATTACAGATTGCACATGAACAAGTTAAAGTTTTGGACCACCCGAAATTGCAGGTACTTTATTTTGAGTACATACTTGCATACTTCTACATTCTGTTTGAAAAACATGTGATCTTGACCCTATACATTTCATAGGATGGATTTCATGAGAAATGGGACCATGGACTAGTGGCAGAACTTGCCATGGAGCATGTCCAACTATGGTCCATTGACACGGTAGTGGCTACATCTCAGAGACCTTATGAACTTCAAAATACATTGCATTTTAGTATACTATCCGCTTCTCCTCTCACCCGTATTAAGTTACCTCGAGCCATTGATGCTTGTTTCTTCGATCCTCCAGGTTATAGTGTTGAAGTAACATGAGTAGTTAAAGTACACAAATGTGCTGGTCTGCATTTTGTGTACTATACAAGACACGTTTACAAAGGAATTCTCACCAAGTCATCAGTTCTCCTTTTTTGTTTACTTCTCCTGAATAATTTAGTAAATGACATATATTGGGGTTATGCTTGTTCTAACATTATCACTTCTTTTCTTAAGAAAAGACACTTGTGACTACAGTTTGCGAACTGTGCTTAAAAATCCTGAGAATGAATCCTTGCAATCTGATAATCTTAACAAATTATAGTCACTTAGTACTCTATACCATATTCAGTTGCTTTATGCCTTTACCTTCATTTACTACATACCTAAAAAAATTTCTAGTTTTTTTCTTCCTTTGACGGCCGCAGCTTACTGGTGCAATATTTGATGCCATTTTAGATCGTGACATTTGATTCATATGGAGTATCAGGCCATCCAAACCACAAAGATGTTCATCACGGCATATGGTTAGTTCAGTTATCTGGTATAACACTGCATGATTAGCCACATGCATGAATCACTGAAATTGTTTGTTAACATTGGGATTCTGGTATGTTGGGCATCAGGACTGTTGTTCTTTGACTGTGCACAGCTTCTTCTCATTTCATTTACTTGTTCATTTTTTGTACTACACATATGCATATCACATTTATGAGATAGTTTTGTATTTTTATCACTCAGAGTCTAAAAAACTTTATTTCTATATGAACAGCAAGTTTCTCCGTGCGAACAGGCAGGGGAATGTGGAAGCTTGGGAACTAGTAAGTTTCTTCCCTTAAATCCTTCGACAGCCTTATTATTTGGATTTACTTCTCAAACCGATTTTCACTTTATGAGGAAGAGAATATGTGTGTTACTTTGTTGACTTTGTCAGTGCTATGTTTAGCTGAAGCTACGGAACTCTTAATTTTTCTTGGAATCGGAAATGCATAAACTATAATGTTACAGCCTACATTGCCAACTCCTTTTGGTAGATGACTTAGTTTTTTTTATAATATATATTTTTCAGAGATTTTGCTATTTTATGAATGAACATCATTTCTGTATTGCTAAACTTCATGGTCACCTTATCTTTACTTTACCTTTTTTTTTGGGGGGTCTTGATTGTACCATGTTTTTTCTTGCTGGAAGAACACATTAGTGTGGAGGAAAGATGATCGATGTTGGATTATTTCTAAATGCAGGCAAGCCTGAATATTCTTCGCAAGTACAGTGGTCCGGTTGACATTTGGCTTTCTTCGTTCATCTCCTTCACAAGGTCAAAGCAGTCAATCTATACTCTAGTTAACAGTAGCCCGTCCAGAAGCTATGAAGCAATGGCTGCACACAGAAGTCAGTGGGTTTGGTAAGTCTAAGAGTATCATATTTGCATTTTCATGGAGAAAGCATTGTTTCTGCCAACTTGAATAGAGCGCTGGAGATCAATCCACTTATAGCCTCTATAAGTTCATAACGAAGTTTCTGATTGCATCATATTTATGTAGTTCCTCGCAATATATCATGGCCAACATATAATGAGTCACTGACTTGCTGATTGCCGCCAATATATTGTCCCTGACGGCATCTCTCTACACCTTTCCTGCATCAGGAAACAATAGGGGCCATGTTTAACTTAGTAGTTAGGGAATGTTTTTTTTTTCTCGAATATAGGGATTCTCTTTTCTGAATTGAAGATAATCAACACATTCTATGTGTCTTTGCAGGTTTAGGAGATTGTTTGTCATGTTCTCGAGTTACACATACATCAATATGATACAGAAAATTTAACATGTGAGATGACGTCATATCAGAGCAAGCCGCTAATATGTGTCAATGGTTTTTAGTTGTACATCCTCAATAGGCAGTGCTCAATGATTGTAGGTCTTCGTATTTCCAATTATGTACTACAGTATATTTGTAAGTTTTGGTACTGAATGATTGAAATACAGTCAATCAGTATTGGAGTATGCTCACCGGCTTAGCTTATGGGTGTGTGGTCAAACGATTTCTGGTTCGTATTTGACGTCCTTGATTGACGAACTGACCTGCTAACTAATCCTGTTGTACTACTGCTTTTGTCCCAAAAGATGCAATTCTGGGTTTGGATCTTGTCAAACTTAAAATATATTAACATTTGTGACTCTAAATAAGTATACTATGAAAATATATTACATGATTAATCTAATATAAGGTTTATTCGGTATTATAATTAGTGATTTTTGTGTATAGATTTGATCAAATTTAAAACTGTTTTAAAAACCAAGAATGGTATGTTTTTTTTTTTGGAACGAATGGATTAGTTGCCACTGCGAGAGTCCAAAATAGGTTCCATTTGAAAATCACATACTGCTCCGCTGGAAGTATTGGTTCAAAAATCACTGCGAATGAAGGGGCTTATATGAAAGACACCCCATTTTAAAACGCGTACCCCAACGCGATGAGTTGAACGACGACCAAATCGCGCGTCGCGAAAAGTACACGATGAACCTATTAAAATCTTCTTCCTGCTTCGTCGTCAGATCCACCATTGCCTAGTCCACTACTAGCACCATCCAAGAGGCATCGAAATTGCCTCTTGCGATTTGAGAGCTGGGAAGAAAGCTCGGGAAGGCGGAGCAGAGCATGATGCTTCCGAGCGCCGAGCTGTCGTCGTCCAACGGCGGCGGCGGCGCCAGTGGCTTGCCGACCCTGCCGGACTTCTTGGGCAGGAAGAACAAGTACATGCGCATGGACGACGTGCTCCCTCCTGAGCAGGAAGGCGAGGACGGCGGCGTCCTTGTCCGTGAGCGCCAGAGCAGCAGGAGATACGTCTTCGCCTGCTCCGTCTTCGCCTCCCTCAACTCCGTGCTGCTCGGCTACGGTAAGTTTCTTCTTCTCGACTTGGACGACTTCTGCAGCCAGTTCTTGGATTGAAAGTAGTAGAGGACAAAAAATTCGACCTTAATTGAGCTTTTCCTAGAGTTTCTTGGCGACCGACTGTGCGTAGGATTTGGAGATGGTTAGCGCTGAATCGCGTTGACATTTTGCACCCTAGACAATGGCTGCTGCTTCTTATAAACTGTCATTGTTAGTGGTTAGTTTGCTAACGAAGTTTCATAATTCACATCCAAATGTCAGATGTTGGTGTGATGAGCGGTTGCATTCTGTTCATTCAGAGGGATCTTCACATCAACGAGGTGCAGCAGGAGGTCCTGGTGGGCTGCCTTAGCTTCATCTCCCTCCTCGGCAGCCTCGCTGGCGGGAGGACATCGGACGCCATGGGCCGGAAGTGGACCATCGGCCTCGCCGCCGTCGTCTTCCAGGCCGGCGCGGCCGTCATGACGCTGGCCCCGTCATTCCGGGTCCTCATGGTGGGCCGCCTGCTTGCCGGCATCGGCATCGGGTTCGGCGTCATGATCGCGCCGGTGTACATCGCTGAAATATCCCCCGCGGGGTCCAGGGGCTCGTTCACATCCTTCCCGGAGATCTTCATCAACCTCGGCATCCTCCTCGGGTACATCTCCAACTACGCCTTCTCAGGGCTCCCCGACCACATCAACTGGCGTGTCATGCTCGCCGTTGGCATCCTGCCGTCCGTGTCCATCGCCTTCGCGCTGCTCGTGATCCCGGAGTCGCCGCGGTGGCTGGTCATGCAGGGCAGGGCCGACGAGGCGCGCGCCGTGCTCCTCAGGGTCACCGACACCGAGGACGAGGCTAAGGAGAGGCTCGCCGAGATCGAGGCTGCTGCTGCGGCCGCCGCCACGGGCGCCGCCGGCAATGGCAATTACGGCGACAGGAACAAGACGGTGTGGCAGGAGCTGTCGAAGCCATCCCCGGTGATCGCCCGGATGCTCGTCACCGGAGTAGGCATCCAGTGCTTCCAGCAGATCACGGGCATCGACGCGCTGGTGTACTACAGCCCGACCATCTTCCGGGACGCCGGGATCACCACCGAGCGCCAGCTCCTCGCCGCCACGGTCGCCGTCGGGTTCTTCAAGACGGCGTTCATCGCGCTGGCCATCGTGCTAATCGACCGTGTCGGCCGGAAGCCACTGCTGTACGTCAGCACGGTCGGCATGACCGCCTGCCTGGCGGCGCTGTCCGCCGCGCTCTTCCTGCAGGCGCGTGGGTCGGTGTCCCGCGGCGCCGGTGTTGGTGTCGCCATCTTGACGGTGTGCGGCGACGTGGCCTTTTTCTCGGTGGGGATAGGGCCCATCTGCTGGGTGGTGAGCTCCGAGATCTTCCCGCTGCGACTGCGCTCGCAGGCCGCGGCGCTGGGGGCCGTGGCCAACAGGGTGACCAGCGGCGCGGTGGCCATGTCATTCCTCTCTATCTGCCGCGCCATCTCCGTCTCGGGCGCATTCGCCGCGTTCGCAGCCATTTCTGCCCTCTCGGTGCTCTTTGTGCACAAGTTCGTGCCAGAGACCAGCGGCAAGACACTGGAGCAGATCGAATCTCTGTTTGGTGTCGGTAGCGGCGGCGAGGACCGGCGGGAGCTGGAGCTCGGCGATGTGGAGCAGCTGGTGCACAAGTGACGAGTAGCACTGCAGCTGCACACTAACAGACACTGATACACAACAAAATTTTGCCTTGATCCTTTGTAGTGACACTAACATGCATTGGAATGGCCTCAGCAATAACAAGAGTTAAGAATTCTTTCACTTGTTTGATCGATTAATTACTCCTCTTTTCTCAACGAGTATAATTTGACTGGCCCACCTGCCCGCGAGCAGTAGGCATCCACATACTGACATCACCTGTTTGACAGGTCCAGTAGCCGCAAGAGAGTGCCAGCGTGTGAGAAATTTAATTGCCTCACTGATGACATGATACACGTTTCGAACTGAATGTAATTCTGCAAAAGCGCTATCAAACACAAAGTCAGACATTTTGCCGTTACAAGATCTCGGATTAGGCAATTTTTGTATAGTAGAAAACAAAGGGAAATCAGCCAGCCTAAAGGCAAACACAAATGTTCAGATAATATCCATATTATTGTTACACGAATCAGCCAGCCTAAAGGCAAACACACAAGATTCACGAAAACCTGAAGTGAAGTGGGCGGCGATCGACGAAGGCTGGTCCGCTGATGACTTGAATCACACAGTTTCTTGGGTAGGTTGAGCTTGAGCAGGCTTTGCTACTTCGTCGTCGTCTCTGACGAGGTTCAGGATGCCAGCGTGAGAAAGCAGGGCCCAGACATGGGTCAGGAACTCCCCACCCTTCTCAAGCTGTCGCATGTGTTCCTTGGCAGTAATGTGCGAGGGCGCAATGTAGATGACCGTCTTGGCCCAGAAATCTGCCATTGCCTTCCAACGCTGTGCTTCATCCGGCATGTCGTCCTCAAGCTGCTTGCCGAGCTTCACGCCTTTCCTGAAGACTGTCGGAGGGTTGTCTCCTAATTCCTTCATTTTTTGATACCTTTCTGAAGGCGCCCCAGAGGATGGCAAATCTTTAGCTATTTCTTTCTTCACCGTATGTATCAACTCTTTTATGTCCGCTTCATGGTATGGAAGCAGTTGCGGGACAAATGCAAGCAAGTAGGCACAATATCTAGACAATGTAACTGCAACATATCGGTCTGGAATGCTCCCATTCCCACTGCTCGGAGAAAGATGACAGTAGTCAGTTGCGATATGCCAAATCAGCATGATCTCTACTTGAGAATGATCCTTCAGTGTCCAATGATCCTTCAGTGCCCAATGCTCAAACATACTAATGCGGACCTGTGATGCTAGCCGATTGGTCTGCTCACCAAAGGTTGGTTTGATCGACCCAGCAATAGCTTTCTTTGTTTCAGGGGATATTTCAACAGGGTCTAAATTGCACTTGAGAAAAAACTTGAAAAAAACCTTGTCCGGCAAAATAACTGTGTATTGGGCAATCCAATTCCTATTTCTCCTCTGGGGAGAGATTGAAACTCTGATGAGAAAACCGATCAACTTCTCAAGAAATGCAATTTGTTTATATTTGACATACACACAGGCAAGTGATACCTTGATCCAGTCTGATGCCAGATAAACTAATGCTTGCAGTAGTTCTACCACGAGGGCTGTACCAAGAAGTACTAGAGTAATGATGTAGTCAGATCTTGTAATTTGTACTTGTATGATAGGATCGGGAGTCTCAATAGTCACAGAGCCTTGAACAGTATACACCAGAACCAAAGTAAGAAAGATTACTCTCAAGAGAAACGTTAGAAAGTGCATCACCATATTAAAGTAGATGTCGTGATATTTTGTGAAGAAGAAGTCATAGCAAAAACCCAACTCCACTTCAATAATCCTGAATGCTCTTTCGTAATGCTCTTCAGTTTGAAGCAACCCATTGAAGACAAGATGGTTGGGTGTAGGAAGTCTCTCTTGGGCACTGGACAACCCCTTGTACCGTCGTAAGCAGAACTGGCACAAGGCAAGGGACAAGCACACATTTTCCAATGTTTCTACACGGTCTGAGTTGCCACAACAATCCCGTATCTGGTCAATGGTTATGACCTGAACCTTAGGTCGGGGTAGGCAACGGATAGCATAGCCAACTTGGTACTTGTCGCCCTCCGTGGTCTCATCATCAGTGTCTTTCTGATGATCATTTGCATTTTTCTTCATGTATAGTTTAAATCTAATGTATAAGTCAACAATTTCCATGGCCCTTGTCAAATAAAGGACCATTAAAAGAACAGAGAGACACCTGGATGCACTCCCGTGTGTCGTTCCTGAGTGCTGCAAACGCCTGGTCCATGATTCCTTTTGGCTATATGGTGTCAGTAGCGCAAGAAGCATAACAAGGTAAAACACATACCGAGCAAAACCAGTAATCCACTGAATCAGCACCATGTTCTCCTTGTCGTCGTAATCGAATTGGCTGACAGCAATCGTGCCACCCGCAGCCATGAGTAGTGATGCACCCCAGACAGTGTACATGGAATTCTTGACTGGAGAGGACTGCATGATACTAAGGGTGTAAAAGACGAGAGGGAGCAGCGACGCGTTACACACCGCCAGGAAAAAACTGACGATGGAGTTGTGCCACCGCCACTTCCAGGTAGCCACCCGCTTCCAGGTAGCCAAGATAAGCTGGAGAAACAGCAGCGCAGCGGCCACTGCCACCAGAGCTTCCACCTGGATGATCGTCCACCTTGAGTTGTCCAACAGGTGGGATAAAGCCTCCGCTGCCCTCGTCCTGTTAACCAGCACTCCATTCTGTTGGGATCCTAGCTCCATTGATGGAGAAGGAGAGATTTGGGTGTTTCTCTTGAAGGAGGTCAGCGAGGCTGCTGTGGTTGGAGCCCCGGATGTATTCTTCTTATAAGCCTGGCTAGCGTGCCCGTGCGTCGCTACGGGACAACTAAACTTTTATCCTAAAAACACACAGATCGTACGATAAGATAACAATACTGTAAGACATTAAACTGACATTTAATCTAAAAAGCAAAGTTTGTGAAATTAACAGTCACTGAGAGCACAGCACCGTAGGCTCACAAACTTTACTATATAGACCTTTCCATGATACGGCTAAAATAATATTTTATATCGACGAGAAGTCTCTGATGTTACGAACTAAATAAAGCACACTCACCGAGCATGGGTACGCTCGATGAGTGTGGGACGCTGCTTCTCGCGTTTTTAGGAAGTGCTATTGCTCTATTCTTAATCTGCATAGCAACAATGAAGAATTATGTTGTCTGAACAGAACATAAGAAATGAGGCACAAGAAAAAAAAACCCAGAACTCACCCAACGTTGAAACAAAAAAGCTAACATCACAGGTCTTGTGTAAATTTCAAGAACTACACCTGCTCTAGTATATTGCTCGTGCTAACGCTATGGGTCGCATTAATTTCAAAGTTATTTCTATCAAATTTGAAATACTTCATTAAGATTCAATCAAAAACATATTTCTATGGCAATAAAAAATTCAATCGATGCACGTTCAAAAAGCACAGATGTACTGTTGTACCAAAAATTAGAATTCATACTCTATAAAAATGACAAATTCACTGAATTTATTATTCTCATATTTTTTAAAAAAATTTGAGGGAATCCCAACTATTGAAACAAAAGACACCGATGGGATATGATGCAACTCATATTTTTTTGAGCAATCAAAATACAATCTTTTATGAGTTCTCGTGGTTTGCACTGCATATTCCACCCCCCACCCGCTTGTACAGAAGGCACATTGTCCATGTACATTGCAAATAAGATTGCAAAAGATTAATATGTATGTACAGCAACCCAATGTACCAACAACAATTTTAAACATGACACCGGACCACATGTATACGAAAGGTTATGCCAGTACACTCTTTATTCATCCTTAAACACATAATCTAGATGCCGCCTCTTAATCTTAGGTGTAAAACCAATGAACCAGACAAGATCTCACAATGCCAACTACAGATAACATGATCAGAGTACAGTTATGATCATCATCATATTCTATTGGCCCATATTTCCAAGAAGTCGCTCCACCTTGATGAACATTTCCAGCGTTAGCGGCCAAGGCTTGTATGGGAGCTAAGCTAATTGTGTTGCATACAGTTCTTCTGGCGGCACTGCAAATTTTGACATTACTTTGTTGATGAGAAGACTTCAAGAAATCATCCAAAGAGAAGCATTTGGAGCATTTGTAACTGCAGGATTAATTTCTCCATTAACAGAACAGACTATGTACTGACCATTATAAGCATTTGGAGCACCTAGGCCACCACCAGCACCAAGCCCGCTGAACATTATCATCAAGGTGTGGGATGTGTGCGACCGCCGGATCTCCGAGGAGGCACAACTTACACTGAATAAATTAACCAAACCTTGACAATTGATGACACTAATATCATGCACGCCACTTTGTGACAAAAAATGACATCGGATGGAATTGGCAGGTGTATGTGTGTATCTCTTGGAGGAGAATGACAAGCAAGTCTTACTGGACACCCAAACATTCAAAACCTGAGGTCGCAACTCACCGACATGGCCGCCCGCTCGCCGCCGCCCCGACCCGCGCGCTCGCTTGCCTGGCTCGGGACCTTGGAGTCTGGTGTGGCGGCGGCGGCTAAGGTCCCCTGCTCGTCGTTGGAGAGGTCAGCAGTGGCGAGACTCGGCGAGCTCCAACAGCTCCTCGATGGCCTCCGCCCTCCATGGTCATCACGAGGGAACTACGGTGGGTAGGAGTACCTGAGGTCAGGGACACGCGCAGCTTGAGCTCCTTCTTGTCACCGCCCGAGAAGAACAGGGCCATGTTCCTCTGGATGATGAGCCCGTCGTAGCTATCCTGGACCCTCCGGTGACTGTGAATGATGCTCCGGGGTACCCCTTGGCAGATCATCTTGAGCCCGGTGCCCCCAGGCTGTAACTGAAATGCCTCGAAGTGTAAGCAGAAGTACTGGCCAAAAGCAGCTGAAAACCTGCACGAGTTAATTATAGCAGATCATGATGTGATTTTATAATAGCAGTGCTTCTTTATTGCACTTAAAACAGTGAGAAAAGGTAGCAAATCAAGAATCAATATGAAACATAATGTACTCGTGCCTTGAAACAACATGACCTTTTATTGAAAACCGATGAAGAGGATCTGTACATGCAGTGTGTTTGTATAAGAAAAAAAATCAGTTGAACAAGCGAGAATCTCCCTGAAATGAATTGGCTAGTGATGGTGTACAATCACCCAGCCAAGTTTCTGAGACATGAACTTTTGTATTTGCAGAAACAAACCACAGTAAAAAAACAATAGAAAATTTTAATCAACATATTGATGTTAGTGTAAAGTACTGTAAGCATCCAAGTGGCATTCTCATCTTCATGAGGGTTTCACCCCCAAAAATGTTTCAATCAACTGAGGAGTTGAGGAAATTCAAACACGGCCTTTAAGACAAATCAACAAAGAACTATAGTATCTTAATAATGTATAATGTATATATCTGATGTAAAGTGAAAGAAACATGGAAAATGACAACAGTGCATAGCCAAAAAGATAATAATTATGCATTCCATAGAAGTAGCACTTCGTGATGTACATTCCACTGAAAATTAGAGAGATCAAATCCTTGAAGTGCTGATTAAGCAATTGACACGTGAATAAAACACTGGCCGAAAAACTCAAATGCAGTAATCGGAGCCCCACAATTTCTATATACAGAATTTGAGATCAGTAAAAGCTACTGCAGTAAAGTAGTTTTCAATGACGAAGTGCACCAAAAGTGTGTCAAACTCCAACCTGAACCTGAAGAATAACCATCGAGCTCAAAACATATCCAACGTCGACCAACAGTTTCATCACCGGGCTCAAATAATTTTCAATCCGCACCCACTCTATAAACGTTGACTACTTCCCACACGCGAATCGTCTAGATCCTGCTCCAATCGCACATCTCTGCAAAGCATCGGGAGCTCTGTGGTGAAAAAAAATCAAACAATTAATCTGTATTATGTACAAACAAAATCATCAAATAAATAGGGGGACGGGATGCACCTCAGCTGTGGGATGCCGCTAGCGTGAGGGCAGGCTGCGCTGCCCGCCGGGCCCCCCTGTCCACGCAAGGCGATGTGCCCAGGAGGTCGGGGATTGGGGCAGGATGCATCGCAGCCGGGGGTTCCATCCGCACGGTGTGGGACGCGCCACCATCGAGGGGCGGGATGGGATGGCCCATGGCGGCGAGGAGGCGCCACTGCCTTGCGCTGTCGCCTGCAGAGAAAAAGGGGCGTCGCCATCGGTCCTCATGCGCCGATCCGCATGGAGGTGGGGGTGGCTGGTGGGGGCGGGATGCGGATGGCGCGAGGGGGCACGACGGGGAAATGGGAGGGGAGGCGGCAGGAGGCAGGATGCAGGGAGAGGACGTGGCACCGGATCCTGCACACCGGCTGCTGCTGTGCTGAGGCGCAGCGAGACGACGGCGAAGCGTGACGCGGCAGCGAGACGACGAGCACGATGAGGGCCTCACGGGGCAATTAATTAAGCGGTGACGACGCGGACGTAGCCGAGGGAATCCGCCACCGCCGTGTCCGCCCTGTACGGATCCAGAGCCCGAGGGCGGCTGCCCGTCACCGACACCCATGCACGCAAGGCCGTCGGGATAGAGAAGGGCGCAGTGGCCGTCGTCGGGAGGGGATGGGGAAGGGCGCCGCCACCATGGTCGTGGGGAGCAGGGCCAGCGGCGCGGCGGCTTTGGTGTCGCACCTGTGGTGGGCGCGGCCTGCTACGGGCGGGCACGGGCACAGGGTGGGCGCGATGGGGGCGCGGCGGCAGCACGGCCAGAATCACGGGAGCGGGTTTTGTGAGCGATGTTTCTTTTCTTGGAAGGTACGGACGTAGGGGGCACAGAGAAAGATGGCACGGGCGGCAGAAGTGCGAAGATGTACAGTTATTTTGGGAGGGAGATGTACACCGTAACCCTTCAGCTCAGCTCTGCACCTGTTCATGTTTGTACTGGGCCATGTTTAGTTCCTCCGATTTCTGAATTTGACACTATGTAAAAAGAAGATTCCTCGTCACATCAAATTTGTGGTACATACATGGAGTACTAAATGTTGACGAAATTAAAAACTAATTGTACAGTTTAGTTGTACTTTGTGAGACGAACGTTTTGAGCCTAATTAGTCAACGATTGGACAATTATTACCAAATAAAAATGAAACAGTACTATAGCTACAGTAGAAATTTGGCGGCGCCGGTTCGGTGGCCGAACTAAACATGGCCCTACAAGCATTATTGGATTGCTGATGCTCCGATAAATCCAAAGGTCCGTCGTCCTACAATCCCATCTGAATGGTGTCAGAGGAGTTAGGACATGCCTGTTTGGCCTTTCTATGAGCTTTTGATTTTTATTTTGTTGCAGTTGTAGTAGCAAACTTTTGTAAGCGCAAAGGTTCCTGTTTTCTCCTCCATTTGCATAAAAGCCAGTTCTATATAAGGGTCTGCGACTAAAGTTGAGAAAGTATCACATCGAATATCACATCGGATGTCACATCAAGTGTTCCTATATTAATAATAAAACTAATTACAGAAGTTATGACTAATTCTCGAGACGAATCCATTAGTCCTAATCAATCCATCATTAGCACATGTTTACTGTAGCATCACATTATCAAATCATGAACTAATTAGGTTTAATAGATTCGTCTCACAAATTAGTCTTAATCTGTGTAATTAGTTTTGTAATTAGTCTATGTTTAATAATCTAAATTAGTGTCAAACAACCAAGGTACCGATTAGTTCCCTTCTATTTTGCAAAAAATTTCAAGATTTCCCATCACATCGAATCTTTAGACGCATACATGAAGCATTAAATATAAATAAAAAATAAAACTAATTACACAGTTTAGACGAAAATCACGAGACGAATCTTTTAAGCCTAATTAAACTATGATTAGATACTAATTGTCAAATAACAATAAAAGTGTTGCATTTCGCTAACTAAACGAGCCCCAACACTACAGGAACTAAACTTTATCGGTAGGAACCGAACACCCCAGCCACGTCCCATCAAAGGGCCCATGTTGCCTTGCATTCAAAATTTTATCTTGCAAAATGATCCCTGAAGGCACCTGCGTTTGCAAATACAGTATCTCCTGGACAATGAAGCAGCAAATAACTAAATTATAGCTCCACCCTACCTGCACGTGTGTCAACCTGATTTGCTGAACAATGTGATTTTGTTTTTTTGAAATAGAATGTCATATATACTTCGTGAACATATATATTGTTCGTTTGCTTGGCTGATAAGGTATGGTTAAAAGTATTTTTGGTTGATTTGTTGTGAAAAAAAAATATTATTCGTTGACTGAAAAAAGTACGACTTATAAGTCAAACGAACCGTGCGTCTCTGCAATGTTGTAGCTAGGAAAGCAGCTAGAAGCCATCCATGATCCATCCCTGTTCGGCTTACTAAATCTTGGCTGAAATTAGCTGAAAAATACTGTTCTGGCTGAAATGTTGTGAGAGAAAAACACTGTTCCGATTAAAAAAAGAACTCGAACAAGCCGAATATGGGAGCCAAACGGACAGCAGGCGCATCCGATGTTATAGAGAACGATGGCAAGGCCTCGTCAGCTTTCAATGCACTGCGCGCTCTCGCTTCTCCACTTTGATTTGCAAACATGAACTTCTGCCTTCTGGTGAACTTTTTCTGTGGCGTGGAAAGATCCCTCTCTGGCTCCTGCTTCATTTTTCCTTTGCCGTTTGCCTGCTTCTTGCTTCTTTTTCTTGTGACGTGATGAAAGAGGACCGGGGCTCTGATGATTTGATCCACCAAACTGTATCTTTCCCTTTATTTTTGTGTGTTTTTTCTTCTTGTTTTTTTATGAGATGAGTGTAGGGACATTGTGACTCGATGATCCAAAGCAGCACATACCGTCTTCTCTCTCTCTATCTTTTCTATCGTGGGCTTGGCTATGTCTCGTGTTTTGTTTTGTGGTTTTGCCTTATTGACTTGTCCAAATTAACCAAAGCGATGTAGGATTTTGTTTCGTTTCTCTAAAAACGAAGTTCGTTGATTTCCTATGCAGGTGCTTAACTTTTTTTTTTTAAATGTACGCAGGTGCTTAACTTGCAACGACACAAAGCATGCACCTCACTAGATGCTTAATTTGCAGCAAAGTGAAAAAAGCAGCAAATTAAGGAGAGCATCTGTGCAATGTCGTAGCTAGGAAAGAAGCCAGAAGCCATCCATGATCCATCTCAATTATTTGTACCAGCAAAGCTAGGCCTAGGCGCATCCGATGTTCCAGACGACAATGCCAAGGCGTCGGCCCTGTTCGCTTGGCAGTCGATTAACAGTAAATCAACCGACAGTACTTTTAGTCATAATTTATCAGCGAAACGAACAGAACAAATGACAGTCCCACACCAATGGTTGATCGCCAGGCAAGGCCAGTCCCCACACTGCCCAACGGAGCCTCGGCTTTGCGGGGGTCGCTGATCGCCGGGCATTGATGATCCAACAGAGAACGAACCGTCTTTTCTCTCTCTTTTTGGCCATGTTTAGGCCTCGTTGAGATCCGAAAATTTTTAGGTTTTGAAAACTGTAGCACTTTCATTTGTATTTGGTAATTAGTGTCTAATTATGGACTAATTAGGTTCGAAAGTTTCGTCTCGTGATTTCTCACCCAACTGTGCAATTAGTTTTTTTTTCTACATTTAGTACTCCATGCATGTGCCACAAGATTCGATGTGACGGGTACTATGCAAATTTTTTTGACTTTTGGGTGGAACTAAATGGGGCCTTAGTTCCATCAAAATCCAAACTTTGTCACTATGTAAAAAGAAGATTCTTCGTCACATCAAACTTGCGGTACATGCATGAAGTACTAAATGTTGACGAAATCAAAAATTAATTGCACAGTTTTGTTGTACTTTACGAGACGAACGTTTTGAGCCTAATTAGTCAACGATTAGATAATTATTATTAAATACAAACTAAATGCTACAGTGCGCGGTATAATGCACATGCTTCCCGGCGGCGGCCATTCCGCAGGCAACTAAACGCCCCCTTTATGTGACGAAGATGAATGATGCATCTTGTTTTCTGGACATTTGGGAGAGGGCCGATCAGTGCCTGCTGCTTCGGCAGGAAACAAAAGCATGCATCGTATCGTACGAGATCCAAAGACAATTCATGATGGCTACAGTAGTTCGGAGGGAACTCAGAGCGTCATCATGATTTCCATGGCGCGGTCATTGAAACCGAGGAACATATGTTGTTGTGGGTCTGACATCCCACGGATAAAACAGTGAGCCTATGTGTTTCTTCTCTGCCCGTTGCTTTAGCCTATAGGGTATGTTTCGAACATGACTTTTATAGAGATTATACTATATAAGAGGAATTAATATTGGGCACTGTAACACTTTTCTTTATATTTGACAATTATTGTCTAATCATGGTCTAACTAGGCTCAAAAGATTCGTTTCGTAATTTACAATAAAACTGTGTAATTAGTTATTTTTTTATCTATATTTAATACTCCATGCATGTGTTTAAAGATTTGATGTGATGAAGAGAGAGTGAAAAAACTTAATCTAAATAAGGCCTAAAAGTCTCGATAAAAAATCATAGAAATTGATAAAAATTCTCGCGTTCCAAATACACTATTTTAATTTTACCGACCGCTCCTTTGCTTTTTGTTGTTGTTGGCCCTAAACCTGTCGGACATAGAAATTGATAAAAATTCTCGCGTTCCAAATACACTATTTTAATTTTACCGACCGCTCCTTTGCTTTTTGTTGTTGTTGGCCCTAAACCTGTCGGACGTCTTTGAACGGCGCTTTAACCAACGGTTTCACCTCACCTCCTTTGTTTTCTTTTGTGGACGCTATACATGTCGGCTGCCTTTGAGCGCCGCTTTAACCGATGGCTTCAACTCGTCTCTTTTGTTTTTTTTTTCCGTTGGATCTCTACTTACCGGCTGTCTTTGAACACCGCTTTAACCAGCGGTCTCACCTTGCCTACCGTGCAACTGCATTCTGCGTCACACCACATGGATGTAGAATCCATCCCTTCTCTATTGCCTTGCAGTCCTTTCGCATCTCCATTTGTCATCTTAAGAATATTGTCACTTTTTAATTTCGATTTTGACTAGCATAGTGTCCGGATGTTACAATGATTAAGATAAGGGCGCCGTTCGCTGGTCACCGGACCAGCCGGCTGATCCCCCCACGAGCTACTGTTTATCAACCAGCTGTTACAGTGTTTCTCTCTCACAAAACCAGCCAGTTT